CCATCCCTGCCTGTGGCAGGGGGTCAGGCTAGATGATCTGTTCAGGTCCCTCCTGACCCTAGCTACTATGAAACTATGAAACTATGACTTGCGGGTCGTGATTGACCACAAGATTAACATAAGCCATCAATGTGATGCTGCAGCTAGTAAAGCGAGCAGAACACTGGCTTGCATCCATAGATGCTTCTCAAGCAAATCCCAGGACATCATTCTCCTGTTGTACTCGGCCTTGGTGAAGCTGCAGCTGGAGTACTGTATCCAGTTTTAGGCTCCACAATTGAAAAAAGGTGTGGAGAAGCTAGAGAGAGTCCAGAGGAGAGCCATGCACATGATCAGAGATTAGGAAAACAGACCTTATGATGAGAGGCTGAGAGCTATGGGACGCTTCAGCCTGGAAAAGCGCAGGCTCAGGGGTGATATGATAGCTGCCTATAAGTTTATCAGGGGTGCTCACCAGGATCTGGGGAAACTTCTGTTCACCAGAGCGCCCCAGGGAAAGACAAGGTCAAATGGTCACAAACTCCTCCAGGACCGTTTCAGGCTGGAAGAACTTCTTTACTGTCCAAGCCCCCAAGGTCTGGAATAGACTGCCACTGGAGGTGGTTCAAGTACCTACTTTGAATGCCTTGAAGAGAAATTTGGATGTTTATCTTGCTGGGATCCTATGACCCCTGCTGACTTCCTGCCTCTAGGGCAGGGGGCTGGACTCGAAGATCTTCCGAGGTCCCTTCCAGCCCTAATGTTTATGGAATCTATGAAATATCAGTTGATTATGAAGAAAAGACTTTTTTCCTAAAAGAATAATTGGACAATGAAGTAATTTGTTGAGGATTTAGATGCTCTGATTATGGATACTTTAGGAATATGTTAGATATTACAGTGATAGGTTCCTTCAGAAGCCTAAGGTAGCGACTCTATCAACAAGTTAATGATTATCTTTATTACAGAAAATGAAGTAAATGTTACATGAGTTTATGAAAGGGGTATTGCAAGTGTTCTGTTTAATATAGGATCCTGCTCAGGGGGTCAAGGTGAGTGTGACATCCCTGCCTTAGAAGAAGCTGTAGTGTGGACCACAGCCTGCTTCTTCACATGTTCCACATTGACAGGGTACAAGGTGGTGTGCACTTCACGCTCTTCAGTTCTCAACAGCCATTGGCTGGAGGCAAAGTGCCCTCTTTTTAATTACAGCCTATTTGAAGTTGCAGCCTTATTAAAAGCATCCATTCCCTACTGATTATTGTTCTTTTTTATTATTTCAAAACACCTCTTTTACCCCCAAATCTTTTGATTTGCTTTCTTCCATTGTTTGGGGCTTTGTCCCCTCGTCCCAGTCCTCCAAATATTTTTTTATCTGTACCACATGACACTGCTACCTTCCTCCAGGCAAAGCGAGGCACAGTATTGGACACTGTCCCCAGTGCAACATTCAGTGCTAAAGTTTGCTCAGCCAGCCCATATTTGACTGCAGCATGGAGTAGCTTCTGAACCCATACTGACATCCCTTTAGGTCAACTTCTGGCAGCAGTCTGATTTCTTTCCTAGCACTGGCTTTGGGTTTGACCATGGATCTGGCCAGCACAGAACCAGCTACTGAGGTTGGCTTACTGGAGTCTTCATCCATTTTCAACTCAGTTCTGCTTGGTCTGTGACTCCAACTCATCTCAGAACTCCTAGATCTTGGCATAATGGTGATTAGGCTTATATCCAACTTTTCTGTGGTGGTCTTTTGGGCAATGTCGCCCTCAACCATCCACCGTTGGTGGGGACAGATTGGACTAGCTGGCTTCCTTCTCTTGGCCATCTGGCTTTCAGCTTCCTTTAGGCCTCCTCTGAAAGATCAAGAGGACTATCTGGATCTGGGTTCAAGGCTGAGTGGTTTCTGAGAGACATACTGTCTTCCTCCTTGGCAGACAGAGTTTTTGAGTGAAAGTGATTGTGATTGCTACTCTATGTACTGAACTTAGTGTTGTCAGAGTTCAGTAGCATAAAATCTGCCTAATACCATTTTAAGTGCCTATAGTGCCACTATCGATTTAACCCAGTTTTTAATTACACGATCATATATTTTTCTTTTTACTTAAAACCAGACCTAATTCAAAGTTATAGTAATTTGGTGTAGAGAATAGTATGTTTCTGAGTGGACACATATAACAATTGAACCAGTTCCCATGTGTCACGGATCAGAGGTGTCCAGACATATACTGCCTTCACATTCCAGGTTGAACGGTCACCTTCTAGGTGTTGAAGTGCTGTGGCTCTGACACCAGAGGGTAGCAGTAAACACCCAATCCAACATGCTGTGCATTGAGCAAATGTGGGGAAGTGCTTGCACCCATGCTTTGATGGTCCTAGTGGGTGGGTAACCTGTGGCTTGGGATGGTTTTGCTTTCTTGTTTTCTTTTCTCTCCTAAACATGAGTCCAATGAAGTTCCATAGTCTGTAGTTGATCAAAGTGTGCTTGCCTGACTAGGAGCGGCAAGGCAGGGGAGAAGTGTGCTTGGACTCTCAGTTTTGGGTTTCCAGGTGCTGGGTTGGCATGATGAGAGGCTACAGTGGAGTAAGGAGCAAGGACACAGATGGTTATTAGAAAGATAGCTTCTATTGAACAAGTGCAAGGGAGCTCATTGATAGAGCGCCAACAAAAGGAAAAAAATGGGAGGCAGTAAAGTGGCTGGGTACCAGAGCAGCCATTTGCAGCAGTAGGTGGATAAAGAGCAATGCAGCATTGAATGCCTGGAGAACTAACCAGACCTGTATCATGGGACACTTGTTGGTGTCCACATGGAACATGTAACACTGAACCAGTACACTGTGAACTGGTTCAGGAATAACTGATTTTCAGATACACTTTTAAACTGTTCCAGAAGGCTTTAAACCATGTATGTCTGTCCACTTCATGTTTAAACCACATTTAAAGCAGTGTAAGTGTTACATGTGTTCATGCCCTAAATCTATCTTGAGTTACATGCATGCCACTCCATGGAAGTCAATACAGTTACATGGAAGCGAGTGAAGTTAAAATTTATCTCAACGTATTTTATCTGAGGTACATATCTCTGTGCTTCAGATCCTGCTATTGCAATATGGATTTACCCTTGACTTCTTTTTCTAGCCATTTTAGTAACCAAAGGGGTGGTTATTTTGAAGGTTTGGTTCAGACAGGGCTGCATTTTTCATCTAATTAATTGCTGGAGTGCAGCAGTTTTCTTTTTAAATGGTCTTGAGTGCATCCATTCTGGCACACAGTAACCAGCATATAGTTGGTTTTTGACAGGAGAGATTGTACTCTGATACCTCCTGGGGACTGAGACCATTTCCTTTATGGCTATCATCTACTTTTGGTCTCTGGCAGTGTTTAATTAATTTAGATAAACCACTACATAACAAACAAATAAAGAGAACTGATACTTGTGACTGAATGATTTTAATGTTCCTTGTCTTTTGTTTGTAGTGGTCTCTTAGATTAGATATTTTTCCCCATAAACTTTCTCTTCCCTTTGCAGATTCCAAGCATGTATCTATTTTGCATCTGTCTTTCAAGCTATGTCATGTGGCATCCATTACTTGGCTTCCGTTTTCATGGCTGTTACTCCCAAATTTGTATGCAGTATCCCTGGAAATGTGAGTAGTGTTCTGTACTACAACTCCTCTGCTTCAAGTATAGAGGATGTCTGGACACTGTGGACATCAACTGATAATTATATTGTGGCCCAGATGGAAAACGGAGAAATCTGGGAACTGAATCAGTGCAGCAGGTCCAGACGAGAGGGCAGTTTGGATCTAGCATATGAATATAATGGCAACAAGTCTGTGTTTTCCTGTTCTCATGGATATATATATGATCACACTAAATGGACGAGCACCATTGTTACAGAGTGGGATTTGGTCTGTAAACGAGAATGGCTTGCAAAATTAACTCAGCCCACCTTCATGCTTGGAGTCCTAATTGGAGCAGTGATTTTTGGTGATATTGCTGACAGGTATAATGCCATATTCTTTATATTGTACCTCCTAAGTGCAAAAGCTCTGTATCTACCTGCTTTTATCCTATTTTAAATTGATATTATTCACTTAATATAGTATTATTAACAAATGTATTCTTCAACCATTCCTTTATTTATTTTATCCAGTACAGAGGATTTTTGTTTTTCTATAACAAATATCAATTTAAAGCATTGTTGTTGTTATTGTTGTTGTTATAAATTAATAGGAATATTATTTGGAACATATTTTCTGCTATATGTCACATATCCATTTAGGCCCTGATCTCCAAGCTGCTCCTTATGGATGAAGCCTTTTTGCAGGATCAGAGTCATATTGGGTTTTCCCCTCATTTTTCTTGAAAGAGAAATGAAAATTTTCAGATATGATTAATAATTAAAGGGATACTGTCAGATTAAACAACATTTTTTTAAAAGACAAATTTCCTAACTTCTATAATTAATACAGTTTAATGGGCCCAACTGAAAGACTTTGGGTATGGATCAAGCCCTGTATTTTGTGGATTTAGAGTTTAAAATTGGTACTGAATCCATTTTAAATTAGTCATTATAATATTAGTTAATACTCCCATGCAGAATATGGGGTTATGGTCACACAATTCTCAGATGTATTAGCTCAAGCCATACACATCTTTTTAAGATACAATCCAAAACATTGTCAGCAGAACATTACTATGTCTGTCACATTTTGGCTGGTGGGAATTAAATTGGTGGTTTTAGTCCACTTTTCAATGAACAGATATTCCCAATACAAGGACCACCACAGCTGGCATTAATGAGAATCCCTGCTGGGTGCAGAGATTCTCCCAGAAATTGAATGGGCATGAAGACAGTTGTCTCTTCAGTTTTTATAGGACAGGGTTGAAACACATTTGCAGGTCCTCACAGGGAAATTTGCAGCCCAGCTGTCTGGCTTATACAAATTATGTACTGGATCGTGTTCTAATTTTCTTTTCATGTGTCCAAAACCAACCAAAAATGAAGTAGAACAAAACAACCTAGTCCTAACCAAACCAAACCCATACCCTAAAACAAAACACAACACCAGACCACAATGCCTAAATCTCCAAAAACTGTTCATGATAAATCTGGAAATAATGTATTTTCATGACTATATAGTCAGAGAATAAAGTGAAGTAGGTGACATCCCTTGTCTAGTCAATACTTGCAACATATTCTGTATTATAGACATTGTGGGTGTGTCTACACAAGACACTAACTGCTCAGTAGCCTAATAATACTGCACAGTAGTGCATCACAGCACAAACAGTGCTAATATGCAACTGTGCAGTATTATTAGGCTAGTGTACAGTAGCATCACTAAAAGGCATCGCTGACACTACTGTGCAGTAACTCCTGTTTCTGTGCATTTATTAGTACTTGATTAGACAAGTACTAAATTAAATGCTCAGTAACCACTGCACATTAATGGATGTGTAGAAGCGCCCACCCTGTATTGCTGGACAAAACAGAGTAGAATGAATCCAACAGTAGATTGTTATCTTTTTGTTACAGATTTTCTTTGATTTCTTTTTAGAGAAAAGTAATTTGGCAATTTACCTATGCAGAAGTTAAACTGAATGCTCAGTAAGAGTGTTCATAATACTCTCTCCTATGGAGACCTATTTTCCAGTCAGAAACTTCTAAACATGACTTCTTTCTATTAATGTTTCTGTTAATGTTTCTGTTAATTTGATCCAAGGGAACTATGGACAGATAAAAGATTTCCCTTATCCAGCAAATAATAAATCAAAGTTGAGAATGAACCCTGGGACTACTGTGGCAGTTCAGAGCACTATATATAGCACTGGTAATACTTTCTAGGTTTACTTTAATTCTTATTAATGATGAGATATCCCAAGTTGCAGTTACATATTAATACAATGCTTACAAAACATTATTACTATTTTTGTGGTGGTTGTTGTTGTTATTGTTAACAATAATATTTACTGCGTTTTTATTGTGACCTGCAGAATGGGAAGACGGCATATAATGTGGTTCACAAGCATTGGCCAGTTTTTATTTGGCATTGTGGTGGCATTCACATTTGACTACTACAGTTTTGTGGTTGCACGTTTTCTCCTTGCAATGGTAAGAATAGATGCTTTCCATAATTCATATAACAGAAAATGTCCAGTGCTGTGGTATTGGAAGCCCTCTGTATTTTCTCTTTATTCCTCCCTTTCTCCATTTTTCATCTGTTGTCTAGCACTCCCTCCAGTAGAGCAAAGAGGGTTTGAACACTGTTTCCTTTCAACCCAGAAAACCTCTTCTTTTTAGGCTTACCCAGAAAGGGTTCATATAAAGCAGTATTTGGTGTTGCCTCCCTCAGGGTCATTGTTCCCAGCTCCTGCCAGACTGGCAGTGAGGGAAGTAGTACATTCTGGTATGTGCACTGTTGATTATGGTGTATTACCAATACTGACTTTTATTTTTCTCAAAATAAGGACTCTCATAGTTTCATAGTAGTTAGGGGTCAGAAGGGACCTAAATAGATCAGCTAGTCTGACCCCCCGCCACTGGCCAGAGCACACGCTGGGATCACATGACCCCAGACTGGTGTTCATCCAATCTCTTTTTGAATTTACCCAAGGTAGGAGTGAGGACCACTTCCCTAGGAAGTTGGTTCCAGAATCTAGCCACCCTAACAGTGAAATAGTGCCTCCTAATCTCTAACCTGAACCTTTTCTCCAGCAGCTTCTGGCCACTGTTCCTCGTCACCCCAGGTGCTACTGGGGGGGAATAGGACCCTTCCTATTTGCTGTTGATGTCCCCTAACGAGTTTGTAGGCAGCCACCAAATCTCCCCTCAGCCTCCGTTTGCTGAGGCTGAACAGGTTCAGGTCCCTCAGCCTCTCCTCATAGGGCCTGCCCTGTTGCCCTCCAACCAAGCGGGTGGCCCTTTTCTGGACCCCGTCAAGGCAGGCCACATTCTTCTTAAAGTGCGGTGCCCAGAACTGGACACACTACTCTAAATGAGGCCGGACCAATGTCATGTAGAGGGGGAGTATCACCTCTCTGGACCGACTTGCGATGCATCTTTGGATGCACAACAAGGTGCAGTTGGCTTTGCTGGCTGCAGTCTGGCATTGGCGGCTCATGTTCATCTTGGAGTCAATAATGACTCCAAGATCCCTTTCTGCCTCTGTGCTCTCAAGGGGGGAGCTCCCCAGCTTGTATGTATGCTGTGGATTCCTTTTACAATGTGTTTTCCACCGCCTCGTCCAAGTCACTGATGAAGATGTTGAACAGTGTAGGCCCGAGGATCGAGCCCTGGGGGACCCCACAATTCATAGCCCACCAGGTTGAGTACGACCCGCCCACCACCACTCTCTGGGTGTGCCCCATCAGCCAATTTCTGACCCATCCAACTGTGTAGGCATCAATGCCACAGTCGCTCAATTTATTAATGAGAATGGGGTGAGAGACGGTGTCAAAGGCCTTTTTAAAGTCCAGAAAGACTATGTCCACAGCGACACCATCATCCAGGGATTTAGTTACCTGGTCATAAAAGGCTATCAGTTTGGTCTGGCAGGACCTGCCTTTGATGAACCCATGTTGATTTCCCCTGGGCATGATCTCCCCTGCTGGCCCCTCACAGATGTGATCCTTGATAATTTTTTCAAGGATTTTCCCCAAGACCGATGTGAGGCTTATCGGCCTATAGTTTCCTGGGTCTTCCTTTCTCCCTTTCTTATAAATGGGGACCACATTAGCTAGTTTCCAATCTCCGGGCACCTGGCCCCTAGACCACAATCGCTCATACAGCTGGGCCAAGGGCACAGCAATGACCCCCGCCAGCTCTCTCAACACCCGAGGGTGGAGGGCATCAGGTCCCGCAGATTTAAAAACGTCCAGCCCTTCCAGAAGATCCCTAGCTACTTCTGCACAGACCCGAGGCCTGGCAGTGCTATCCCCAAGATTGCCCCTACCTGTAGTGGGAGAGCTGTCCTGGTCCCTGTCCAAGAAAACAGAGGCAAAGAACTTGTTGAAGATTTCATAATAATAATGACTTTATCTCTACTGTGTTCAAGCATTTTTTACTTCATGTATGTCCTTTTTAGTCTTTTAAACTACATTTGAAATGCCAGATGAATAGGCTAACGATCCTAAATGCTTATACTGTACTTACACGTGTATTTCATTATATTTAGCGGGGGTAGGGCTTATTAACCAAAGCCAAATGATGATCCTGAATTCAGAGTTATAATAGTTATGGCTTTTCATTTTATACATTGACTGGTTAGACAATTGTTGCAAGAAAAATAAGTAATTGAAAAACGTTTAGAAAAGAGAAAAAAAAGAAAAAAATTCCTAAGTACAAAGCATCAGAAATCATTCACTTTACTTGCCACTAGCAGAGTGAAAGACAGTAGGGAGCCATTGACTGAAATTCACTTACTTCCCTTGGTCTGCCAGAGGCCAGATTTATTAATAGTTGGGCATAACCCACTGAATCAATGAAAATCCTCCACTGACTTCTCTGGGAACTGAATCAGGCTTTTGGGAGCATGGGTAGTTTAGAAGTGTAAGGCCAGATCAGACCCCAAAGCAGGGTGGGCAAAAAACAGGCTGTGGGGCAAATCTGGCTTGCCAAGTGATTCTATGTGGCCTGCAACAGTTTGGGGACAAACAGGTTGCAGATCGTGGCTCTGCCCTGGCCCCAGCCCCACACTGTCACCACCCTGTGATCCTGGTCCTGGCTCTGGTCTTGCTGGCCTGTCTCGCTCCCGGATACCGCTTTCCACCTGCCTGTGGCCTTATCCCATCCACTTAGCCACATACACCCTGCCCTCAGGGGTCCCAGGTCAGTCTCCATGGAGACCCTGCCTTCCCACTCCATCTGATGCCTCCAGCGCTGGGTGCAGAACAGCTCCTTGCTACCACCCTCCCCCCCACCAGCTCCTTGCCACACTGAGCTGCATAAACAGCTTTAACAGGGGGACTGAGGCCATCATGTACCATCCCCCTCCAGCCCTCAACAGCTCACCAAAGCTCCTTAAGTGATCTTCCAGCCCAAGTAATTGCCTACACTTGCCATACTTGATCACAGGTTAGGAGGGCTCGCAAGACTTCTAAAGTACATGCATGTGACACTGTTGGCCATCTGTTTTTGCTGATGTTAAAGACAGTAGACTTAGGCTTTTTCTCTCTCTTTTTTCTTTCAGGTTTCAAGCGGCTATCTGGTCGTGGTTTTTGTTTATGTGACAGAATATGTTGGCATTAAAGTTCGAACATGGGCATCTATGCATGTCCATGCTTTTTTTGCTTTGGGCGTTATGGTAGTGGCACTGGTGGGATTTTTGGTGCGGACATGGTGGGTCTATCAGATATTTCTTTCCATAACAACTCTTCCCTTTGTCTTGTGCTGCTGGATGCTTCCAGAGACGCCCTTCTGGCTACTATCAGTGGGGAGATATGAAGAAGCACAAAAAGTAATTAATATAATGGCGAGATGGAATAAAGTAAGCACTCCTTGTAAAATTTCTGAACTGTGTTCAATCCAACAAGATGCTCTAGTCAGTAGCAGGACGGGTGATAATGACGTTTCTACAACGAAGAAGCACAACATCTTAGATCTGTTTTGTAATAGGTACATTGCAAGAAGGACCATTACAGTCTGGCTGATTTGGTTCACTGGGAGTTTAGGATACTATGTATTCTCCCTGAGTTCCGTCAATCTGGGAGGCAATGAATATTTAAATCTATTTCTCATAGGTAAATATTTGCTGTATTTTATCCTGCTTACGACAGAATTAGAACATATAATTTTTAAATGTCTAGCAATCTGAGGGCCATTTTTCTGACTAGTTATTTAAAAAAAAAATAATTAAAGTATGTTCAGATCCCTTACCTCTTCTGCCAGTATCTGTACTGTACAACTGTATTTTCCCATTTTTAATTGCTTATCTCTCCCCTTATATTTTGTGAAACACCCATGCTAATAGTAGGGAAGATTGTCCAAAAGAGAGAAAACTATGCAGTCATGACATGCTGTCAGTTATGGGGTCAGTTATAAAGTGAACAAACTGCTTTTTCCAAAATCACAGTCATGGTAAAACTAAATCATACTGGTGACTTTATTATGTATATAATTTTCTGAAAAAATGCATAGCTTGTAAGTTTGTCAGAAGTGTACATTTGAAATGTAATCGGCAGTATTCTTTTAACTTAGTCCAGGCATCTGCAGTGTGCTATGATAAGCCATTTATGTGAGAAAAAATTGGTCAGTACATTTAGGACCATATTAAAAGCAATTAAAAGATTCCCATTGACTTCAGTGTACCTTGCATCTGGTCCATAGACCCAGTCCAGTAAATAATTTAAGCACATGCCTAAATTTAATGCACTTGTGTAGTCCTAGTAAAGTCAATATGGGCTCAAAGTTAATTTGTGTGCTTAAGCCTGTTACAGGGTTGGTGCTCTAGTGAATTAATTTTATATTGCCAAATATTGTTGCATATTAGTAGTTTGACTATTCTGTTGAAAGCAGAATACTAATATGGTTGACATCTGTTATGATAGATTTTCAATTACAAATATCTGCCTGATGAAAGCAGGAGCCTCAGCCTGCTGCTTCCTATAATTTTCCTGACCACTTACAGGCAGGTGCCTGCACCTCAGGTGGAACTACAGAAGCCCAACTCCTTGGTGCTCTTCCTTTCTCTCATTACCATGGTTTAAGTCAGTATAAACCCTTTGACTTAGCACATGTGACTTAACTATATTTAAAATGAGTTCAACCTTCAAATTAAAGGAATGCCCATAACAAGCAAAACAGGTTTAGTAAAATAATATGTAGTCATGCTTTCATGGTTTGAAATTAAATAAGTTTTATTCTGACAGGTGTTGTGGAACTTCCTTCATATGTCATTGCCTGTATTGGGATGGACAAATTAGGAAGAAGAAACACCTTGATTCCATCCCTTATATCCAGTGCGCTGATCTGTGTTTTGATTATGTTGATTCCTCAGGTTAGTCATTTGTCATTTCAAATGTTCCTGTATTATTGTATGTAATCTCATGCTTGTTAATGCAATGTCTGGATCTGAAGTGTGTAGATAATTAAATACAATTTAGAAATGAAACTTCAGTCCTTTAAGGAAGACTTGTTTGCTTTTTTATATTCTTTGTTTTTGTTAAAGGGTCATACTAGCACTCTGTAGTTATGTGCAAAGTGTTCTCAACACTTGATTAAACAGGGGTGAAAATAAGCTGCTTTGTAAGCAGAATCACAGATGTTGACTTCTGGTAACTTACAAGGAAAAGAAACAATGAATGTTGCTCAGTGCTTAACAATGGCAAATAAGACAACGAAGTCATGTTTGGAACAGTTGAGATTTTTGGTGCCTTAAATATTTATATTCTCTTTTAACAGGATTTTAATGCATTAATTATCTTAGCAAATATGGCTGGAAAGTTCACCATAGGTGTTGCATTTGGCCTTATTTACCTGTACACAGCAGAACTCTATCCAACTATTGTACGGTAAGCACTTTAAAATAGTTTGTCATGCAATTCTAAATATTTTTTTTCATTTTTTTAATTTGTTCTAGTCTAGAAGCCAGATCCAGCACCCACTTAAGTCAATGGCAATGTTTTAAGTAACTTCCAGTTGGACAGAATTAGTTCCTTTCTGTTTATGGAATTTCTTATATTTGACACTGGAGTAAATTGGTTCCCATTCTTGATTATATATGCTGATTTAATTAAAGTAATAGAAAAATGCTCAGTACTTTCTGAGGGTTGATGAAGATAGCCAGTCATTTCCTAGTATCTGATGAAGTAAGATGTTGCCAACAAAAGCTCATGCCTCTCTCAGCCAGCTAGTCTGAGGGAGTGGTTCTGAACCTTTTTGGATTTAAGGTGCCTGTGACAGGGGGCAATCTCCCTAGGCCCAGTCACAGTAGTGGCCTGCTCGCCTGTCTTTGGGCAAGCTGCCTGCTTTACTATTCTGCCACGCCTTATTTTCAAGTAATTAAGATGTTAATTAGGTGGGAAGCTGCCTTTTGAGTGCTCTGATGACAAAGGGTGGTAAACACAAGACCTTCCCTTATCATGTCCCATGCCTCACAGATGTTTTCGTGAGTTGTGCTATGCTCCGGCTTGAGGCCGGGCCCAACTCAGCTCAGTGTTAGGCCTCTCTCATACTGCCCTGTTCAAGGGCCTCACACGTACCATCCCCCTTTCACTGTGGCCTCTACCACTCTGCCATCTCTCACTGGGCTTCTTTCACTCATGCCCCCTACTGGGCCACACTTGCCCTGCCCTGCTCTCTTGAGTGACCATGTGAGCCATCAGGCTTGACTCTGCATGGCTCAGCCAGCCCTGGCACAGCCTTTTGGGCCTCTCCTGCGACCTTCACCTGAACAGTGGCTGGGCAATTAGCAAAACACTAGGCTAACCCCACCCCTGGCTCCCCACTGAGTAACACCACCCACTAGTTCACAGTTTTGAGGCTGGTGACTCGCTCCTTTCACTCATGGCTCTATCTCTATGCTGCCTCACATGGCTTCTGGCCCACTTGCGGCCTCAGGCACCCGAAGGCTTACCTGGACCTCACTGTTCCTTTCTCCAAAGGCCTCAACTCTCACCCCTCAGCAAGGGCCTCAACTCCCGCCCCCAATCTTGGAGCTCAAGATCTTATACCCCCAATGGGCTCAGGTGCCTCCCATTGGTGAGCCTGGCCCCACTGTCCACACTGGGCTCAGGTGCCCCTCACTGGGCTTGCCTGGCCCTACTCTCCTCCAATCTTAATATAACCCACCTCATGGTGGGGGCTGGAGTTTTCAGGTGCCCATACTTGCCTTTCACCAGGGAGGTAACTGGCTTGGCATTTCGTGGAGACTCCCTCGCCACAGAGAGTCCCACCAGGCCACCCTTCCCTGGCAGGGTGCAGTTTCAGGTCATGCCCAGGACCAGGAGCCTCCTAGCCATCCCCATAGCTCCTGCCTTTACCCCCAAGATGTTCCCTGAGCAGCAGCTCAGCTGGGTGTTGTTGTTATTCCTTTGGTTGCTTGCAGCAAGCAGCTGCCCCAACCCTGAGAGCCAGGATCTTAAAATGGCCATCTCATCAGGGCTGGCCTGCACCTGTCTGCTGCCTGCTCTCCTCCTTAAAGTGGCAGACACCGGAGATGCTCTGCCACCCACCTTCCCCCTTAAACTGGGTCTTGTGGCTTTTCCCTGCTGCTCCTAAGGCAGGCTCACTCCGAGCCTGCAAGAGCCCTGAAGTGGCAAGCACCCTGCCAGTGCTCCACCACAGTACCCCTCACTAGACTCAAGGCACCCCTCTCTCATAAGGATCAGCCAGGCAGGGACAAGCCTATGCCTGCACTTACCAACTTATCTCCTCACACCTTGGGGCACTCTTCAGAAGATCGGGTGGTGTTCTGGGGTCCACAGCACCTTGGTTGAGAATCACTGCTCTAAGGTCCTGCTTGAGCAGGTGGGTGGAGTAGATGACCTCATGAGGTCCCTTCCAGTCCTACTTTCCTATGATTCCTATAATAAGGTATCACCTTGCCCTAACTCCTGCCTGAAAGTTCCTAGTTATTAATCTTATAATTCATATTGAATGCTTAGTGTACTTTCAGTTGTATTTAAAGAAGCAAGCAGAGTTAACTGTAAGATGCAGCTTCACTCGGTTGAAATCATAAGTATCTCTTTACCTTTAGTTATTTAATGTATTTGTTATTCCTGTAAATATTTATTACTCTAATTAGAGCTATGTCCTGTTGTCTTATGTACAGGTCACTTGCAGTTGGAAGTGGGAGCATGATGTGCCGTGTTGGGAGTGTGGTTGCTCCTTTTTGCGTTTACCTGACAAGTATCTGGATCTTCATGCCACTGGCAAGTGTTTTTATTTTGATAGTCAAATATTTTGGGGGGGTGGGGAGGGAAGATTTATTAATTATACTAGTAATTTAACATTGAAGTATAGCTATTTTTTAAAAAAAGGAAACCAAGTCAATTGCTCGCATTCTTAATTTGGAATATCAAAGTTTAGTAGCTATATGTTTGTTAAGAATATTAATCTGAGCTCAAAAATATGACTAAAGTACTGAAATCTTCCAAACAGTTCCTGAACTGTATCAGAAACCTTAAATAAGACAAGCATGTATTGTATGCATAGATCTCAGTATAAAATTGGTAGAACTATTAGATAAAAATAAGTACTGTATCATTTATGTAACTCCGAGGAACTTTGTAATTACTTACCTACATGCTCCATGGCTACTTAGACTACTGAGGTCCTTAGCCACTTTCTCTATTTGGCTCCACCTCCTTCTGTCAAAAGAAACAGCTCTTTCTCCACCTCTTTTCCCACTTCCAGAAATTCACATTAAGAGCTCTTAAGCCTTTTAGCTTTCACCTTCTCCTTGCTCAGCCATGGGGATTAACACTATTGGAATAACTCTTTAAGAGATACTGTCTTCTGTGTCTTTCTGTCTTTTGACATCACAAACACAGACCCTGTGTGGCAGGGAGCCAAGGGCTCCTCTTATGTTAAGGGGGAGACTGCAGCAGAAAGAGCCCCAGGTACTTCAACAGGGGTTAGCCGCAGGAGGGAAGACACAGTAAGATGCCCATTAAGGTGAAGGGACACACCTACATCTGGTCAAAAGAACACCTGACCAGGAGGGGGAGCCCGGGGCACATGAACCTGGGTTCCTGCAGCAGGAGGGCAATGCAGCCTCGAGCCCTGCTGGGAGGGAAGTTCCTGCCAGCTCAGACTGATGAGGAGGGGGCGCTGCAGGCCATGGCAGCTACTCCCAGGGCAGAGGGAGCCAGAGAATGAGAAGGTGGCCTGGCAGGAGTATGACAACCCAGAGGAGGAGATTTTGAGTTTATAGTGGCTGCTTGTGTTTTTTCATTCTAGTTTTAAACCAGAGGACTGGGTGTGGCTAAAAGGGGAAGATTGGAGGCCACAGAGGTGCTGCAGGGCTCTGAACCAAGAGCAGCCTTGCCCTGGGTCAGGTTGTCAGTGGGGCTGAGCTGAACCAGGAGCAGCCTCATCCTGGGTCAGGGATGCCAGGGGACTGAGCCGAACTAAGATCAGCCTTGCCCTGGGCCAGGGATGTCAGGGGGATGAAGACAAGGCATAAGACAGGGCCAAAGGGCCCAATGACCAGACACCAAGAGGGCTGAGGCCCAGACAGCTGGGCCCAAATCATTGGGCCAGGGCTGGAGGCCTGCAGCCGGAGAAAAGGAGAGCTAAAGTTAAGAGGGCTGAGGCCTCTATACAAGAACTGAATTGTTGACAGAGTAACATCTGCAAGGCCTGGATATGGCTGTAGGGGGTGAGGAGGCCACAGTTAAAAGCCCTAAAACTTAAATAAGGGGCATTTGGGCCATAGGTAGTGGCCACTGGCACACAGTGCCAGATAGGAACTAATAGGTCCACTAGGGTGTGAGAGACATTCATGAAGAACTGCATGATTTTGGCTAGCGGGCAAAGGGCCCAGTGATCACAAGAAATGAGTCAAAGCACCAGTGAGGGCATGCTGGGACTCAGAGGCTGCCTCCCTATAAATATAAAGGAACATCAAGGTGTAGCAGCAGAGAGAAACAGGGGTGTTATATAGAGAACTGCGAGTGCAGGATTAGGGTCACTCTGGGGGGGCACCAAGACTGCCCCAGGGCATGTCCTGCTACACCCTGTCATTTTCTACATTTACTATACTTGCTTCTTGATACATCTCCCACAATTCCTTATTATATCTCCTTCTCTGCATATCATTCACAATTATTAGTTAAAAAATTGTGCAAGTACTTTATTTTCAAATATATTTAGTTGTCTTTCTTCCTTCTTAGCACTTGTCCAGATATTATTTCCATATATCAAATTAGGCCTTATGAGGAGTTTGTATTGTGGTCATTCTCAGCAGTTGATTGGAACTAAAAATTCTCTGTGGAAAAACGTGACAGGTATTCTTGTTGCATAATTTCTTACTTCATCAAATTGTTGCTAGCAATCAATACCTCTTGGTACTGGCAACAGGCCATCAGGCAACTTTGTTCAAAAACTTTACATTGACCATCAGGCAACTTTGTTCAAAATCTTTACATTGGCTTACAGTCAAGTATTCGGTTCTATTTGCATTGATCTTAAGTCTCTTTCTTGTCTCATCCTTCATGTCACTAGCCATCATTTGTACCTTTTCTTCTCTCCTTACAGCAGCCAAATTGGCATATCCAAAAAAACCAGTTAAATTCACCTCATATTGAGAAATTTACAATGACTTTACATTTTTTTTCCACAACCATGCTTGAGAGTATCAATAATACCACTCCCTGCCTTAATTTTGTCTGGATGTCATTTGGGGCAAATATTTTATTCACTGTTATATTATACTTTTTAAATTGCAAACACACTACAGTTTTAATACTTTTATCAGGGATTCCAGATTCTTTCATTGTGTCCCAATGGCATTCTTGTGCTATACAATTACATGTTTTTTAAAACTCTCATTAGGTGTCTTATTCCTAAAAAGAGCATGTTTTACTTAATTAGGCTAAAGTTATACATTACACTTAGACTATACCAAAGGCACTTAAAAACCATGAGCATCCACACATTAAAGCTTGTTAATTCATGCTAAGTGTCCTCTGAAGATCTACTTCAGGTGAGGATTAACTCTGGATCTTGCTACCTAGCTTGTGTTAGGGTAACTTCAGCCTGCTCCACAGGTTTAAAATGGGCAATTTGCAACCCTCCAGCATCCCAGGATGCACCATTTCCAGCCCCCACTCCCATCCAGAGCAGGGATAGAGCCCAGGCATCCTGACTCCTAGCCATGTCCTTGCTCACAAGCCCTTTAGTGGCAAGTCAGAGCTGTGCAGGCAAGAAATGGTATTAACTCTTAATGTGTGACTGCTCACAGCAAGTTCTAACTATGGGCACGTGTAGACGAAATGGGGGCCCTAAATTGAAGCGGTGGGTTTAAAAACCCACCGCTTCAATTTAGGGCGAAGTAAACCCCCATGTTGTGCACACACCCCACACTTATCTGCCTCTCCGGTAGCAGGGGTGCGAGTGCTGGCGGGCAAAGCGGTCCCTGGGCTGTGGGGGCGGGGGGGCTGGTGCTTCCCTCTGCAGCAGTGGCAGCCTCCCCCAGGTGGCACCTGGCTCGGGCGGTCCCGGGGGGCACCGCAGCCATGGAAGGAAGCACCGGGTCCCCGCCCAGCTCCGGCAGGCAGGCAGGCTCCGGGGGGGAAAAAAAAAAAATCAGGCTCGCCACTTTGTTGGGCAGAGCCTGCCTTCCCGGGCTGCTGCCAAGCTGCCTGCAGGGCTTCCTGCAGAGCCGCAGAGCTGCATGGAGCCCGGTGTTTTGCTCTGCGGCTGTAGGGGCAGCAAACTAAAACTCCTCAGAGGAGTTTTAGTTTTCTGTGCTCCAAGTCATTTAAGGTGCATTACACCGCCGAATTTCCTACAACGGCTAGAATTAATGCACAATACACCACCGAGGTATGCAAACACTGACACCATTAAAGTGGTTCGTCTATACACGGCCTATAACACCACCTAACATGCCACAGTTTTAATATGGTTTAAGTGTAATGTCCACCTTAAGTTTTAGAATCCTGAGAACATTTTTTCACTTACTGCCATTATCCTTTAGGGATAAGAAGCAGTATGGCTGGCTTAATAGAGATAATGAAGAAGTAAACAAAGATTAAATCCTGCTGTTGAAGATGGTCTATTTTCATTATTCATGTAGAGTGAGTGAATCAGTGAGTAAGTGAGTTAGTGTGTGTGTGTGTGTGTGTGTGTTAGGTCACATAATGAGGTGATTCAGAGGCCCTTGAATGGAGAACAAGCCTGTCATATCCAAGATCTCATGATCACAGCAAGCTTCTGATATGCTAAAAAAAATGCAGCCAAATAAGAGGCCAATAGAAGTGTTGGGAAAAGAGTGTGAGAGAAAGGATGTTAACAGTATAACCAGATGAAAAACAAGTAAACAGGTAGCAAAAGAAACAAATGGCACACAGTGGGCATGTCTACACAAGATGCTACGGTGCTCTAGTGATGCACTACGGCACCATAGCGTCCATTGGCAAAAACCATGACACTCCACTACATTGCCATAGCAACACGCTCCCTTGTTATAGCATATTGCTACAGCAACGTAGCAGCCAAAAATAACCATGCACAACCAGCACAGCACAGCATGGGCTGTTACTGTGCCATCTTTTAGCACTTCCAAAAGGAAGTGCTAAATGACAGCACAGTAACAAGGATGCCATATGGCTATGTGTCGATGCATCCAGTAATGATGTTCACTTAGTCTGTGGCACTTCACAGAAATTTGAATTTGGTGGTTTGGTCTTCTTGTAGGTGTTTCCAATTCATGCCACTATTTGTTCCAACATGATCATTTGCAGCTCTGATTAACCTTCTTTGTAGAAAATGGGCATTTCTTCAGCACCTATATTTGCATCTATTTTGTACAAAATATTTTCACTGTGTGCTTACAGGTTAGCTGTTTTTCTTCTTTATTAGATATGATATCCGAGCAGGTAAGGAATTCCACACCTGTTTAGTCATGGCTTTTTAATCTAAAGTTACCCTTTAGGAAATCATGTGCAAATACATAAACAGTTTCAGACTTTGAACAGAAGATTTTAAACGAATAAACCAATTTTATCCTTTTTATTTAAAAAACAATATTAACTTTTAGTTCTTTGAAAAGCCAGTAAAACTCACTTTATGTGGCCTTTAATATCACATTCTGTATATGATTTCTGAATGCCAAGAAGGAAAAAGTATAAATCCTAAAAAGTTTGCAACCAGCTTCTCTTCCCATATTTCTATTTTTGTACAAACAATTGAGTTTTCCTGCAAA